AGTTGCATAAAGTCATTCAAGTTGTTCACCACCATAACCACAATAATTTAAGACATATGATTGCACATACCTCATATCATACCCAGGACGGTTGTTAAAGGGTTTAGGTAGTGTTCTATCTTTTTTGTTGATAATAATAGAAATACTAAGACCTGACATATTTGAGATTATTCGACAATAATTTTTTTAACGATTATACGGTTTATAGACCTATTAGATTTTATCAACTTAATATTTCCTTAATTTCGGATTCAATTTTTGCGAGAGGTATTGTAATAAATAAATATCGATTAGATATATGAAGTTAAAGGCCCTATCGTCTAAAGTTAGATGAAATTTTTTGCATGACTATCCCAGGAAGAAGTATAATAAATAAAAAGCGAGGTGGATACATTCAAACTATTTCTCATCTCGTAGTTCAGTGGACGAAACCGTGGGAAGCCTGTGTGATCTTCCTCTCCTCACTACGCAGACAATGATAGCTGACGATCATGCCCTCTGTAATAGTGTTTTTATATATAAAAATAAATGGAAAAAATATATGACATGCTTTCAAGGGAGGGAGTACGCGGATCCTAAACCATTTAATGCGAGTCCCTGCGCTATATTATTTCGCTAAAACATTAATACACATAGTCAGAGGCCCTATCGCTTCAGTAGTAGAAACGAAATTTTTTGCTTGACTGAAAAAGACTATATTATTAGAAGACAGCTAGATTGCATATTTTTTGCGGAACAAACGAACTACCATCGCCAAAGCACTGAGCCATCTGCTCTGTTAAAGCAAGAAGATTGTGCGCATGTTCGATCACACAACTCGCCAAAGCAAACTTGTGTCAAGTAGCTATAGAAGTCGTCTTATTAACACAAAAACAACCTAGTATGAAAGGGTGAAGAAAGTGTATTATCGGTAAAAATTTTACAAAAAAAAGATTTATATAAGGGGATACTGCCTTATACATAATAATTAACCCCATATCATTGTATGTGTTTGCATAATTGTTAGCCCCATATTTGTTTTTAACGTTAAGGAGTAGATTACCTGATAAGCTATAAATATCCATACTCTTGTGTATATATTAGCAATAATTTTAAATAAAGCATATACATATCGGTATAATATATTCAATCAACATGCGTCTATGAAATTCAACAAACATTTTATCAGTATACAGTATACAAATTTAGAATACTGGAATAAGGGCTGTGGATACGAACAATAAATAACATACCTGTAAATACATGTGTGGCTTTATTTTAACACATGCAAAAATTCGATAATTTAAATTTCGCTTATTTTCAACAGCACTTCAGATGCGAAGCATCCTCCTTTCAGGAGACAGTGGCTCAGCAATTTTATAAATGTTTATTAAGAAAAAGCCAACAGCAGTTCAACAGTAGCTTAACAGCAGTTATCTAGAATCTATTAATACGTATTCATGGAATTTTAGTAAACATACATGTGCGCTATTTTATTGCAACCACGTTCTATCACCTGACACATATATAAATTTTACTGTAATAACCATGTATTAAACTGCAACTTTCCGTGATCGTTCCCTGATCGTACATAAGAATTTAATAAGTTTTTTCCGTGATCGTTCCGTGATGGATCGCCTAATCGTAGGGATCAAGACTGGCCCGCATTAAAATTTATGCGGTGTTACCTTCATGCAGAATTAATTCTCACGGTCGATCTTTGATTTATAACGAATATTACGAATAATGTCTAGATTTTTCCATATTATATATTATCCCGCGATAAGAAAAAGCACAAATAGAACTTAAAAGGGCTATAATAGGGAAGAGTACAATGTTCTTTATCAGTGTTATTATCAAAATTCATATGTCGCAGGAACTTCGAATTCCCAGATCACCGAGATCGTTGACTTTTTCACTTCGTAGTAGCGATCATCGAATCTAAGGGGGGTTTAATTTCACCAGAAAAGCGACAAAAATAGAGTCAGTATTTGAACTTATGTCCAAGCGGAGTTGCTTTGTTAAGTGTGATCTGACATCGTGTAAGAGTAACGCAATTACTAAGCTTGTAATTTTTCTTCTGGCAGGTTCTCTAGATCTAACGAATATGAAGTATAAAAAGAAGCATGTTTTTACCCGTAAGATAAGTTAGCAATAACATTATTATTTGCTCATATATATTTTTACTTGATTTACTTGTGCCGAATTTTTTTTTGAAGTAATATATTTACCGTTTAATACAGTCTATGAAGACTATTTTTTTTACTTATATTTTTTTGTGTTTAGGAACGAAAAATGAGCACTAACGACAACACCACTCCCAAGACCGATGATAGTAATACCCCCACGACTAATGATTCTAACGCCTCCAAGATTGTTATCCCAATAGGTTATGTACCTAGGTCGTATAGTCCCAAATCCCAATACAAGCCGAGAGAATTATCTTGTAAGTAACTCTGTGCTGTGTAAATATTCTATGAAATAACCCTTCTATTTTCTTGTTTGTATTAAGGCTCTGCTGAAATATAATCGTAAAAATTAGATAATAAAACCTGGGGAAATATTTCTACAAAACGTGCACAATACTTTATAGATAATGATGATTATAGTATTTATCCCCCTGAAGTAGCCCAGGAAATTTTAGATCAAATCTGAACCCCGCCAACCTGGCCCATTAAGGGCACCTCTTTGAGGCATATATTTTTTTTATTTGTATATTGTTCCGGCAAAAAAAATTTATTAAATAAAGAAGGGAGGTCTGGTGGCCTCGCCATTTTTTGTTTTTACGTGATTCTTGTAATGCAATTTGTGATTATTAATTAGTGGAGATAATAGAGTCATACCTAGTTTCCTTATTAATCTATGCTTGATACTTGCTCCGCCTTCCATTTTATCTGTAATATGTATCTAAGTACCGTCCATAAATGCCACTTTTGTTGTGCCCCGTACTATGATACAGATAAACTAAACCTCCCGCATGTGAAAATTATCGATTATGCAAATGGATTATAGCTACAAAAAAATTCTCAATTATATGTTACGTACATGAGACGAGTAACAAATCAAAATTTTTCATCTTTAAGTCTTTCTGGGATTTTGTCTCGCAAATTTCTTGGAAAAGTGGTCAGCATGACAACATACTTGGTTCTGCGCCCAAACAATGTTTTAATTTGTAATAATGGAGTTTAGCAAAATACCTTTTTTAACCGTGTAACTGTGTATCGAAAAAAAACAAAATATTTATATGCAGATTCTGTATGCATTACTTTATACATTGTGCATCTGAAAATATATGTCAATTTCGTGGCATTTGCTTTGAATTTTATTACTTGAACAGGAATGCAAAACACTTATTTGATTAATCTGTGTGAGTACTGCCCAATTAAGAGCGAAGAATTTGCGAAACCTCCAAAAGTATTAATATGCAATCAATAGTTCATTTTCCGAATAGTATTTTGTCTTAAAAACCATTCCATATGTTACTAACACTAAATCATAAATTATCCTCTCTGTGTATCTAGAGCTTCTTGCTGGATTTCGAATAAATCAATTACAAAATTAGGAACGGTAATTGCAACAGGGACCGCTACACCGTACCCAACAGTATTTGTAGTTCTAACACCTGTAACAGCATTTATAACTATAGGGGGATCCCAAAAAACAGCTGGAATTGGAATAGTCACTTGATAAATAGGAAGTCCCGCTCGTGTGCAAGTAGTAGGGTTATTCGTACCATACAGCAAGGTGCCGAAGTCCCACTATAATATTGCAAAGTTACAACTTTAAAGCATCTGACATTTGATTATAAGAAAATATTAACAGAGATTTTACTTACATTTTTGACAGATACTCCCGGTAGATTAGGATTCGTTACTGCTACAAATCCTGCAGGTGCTGGGTTCTCACGTGTCCATAACCTTGCCTAATATATTTTTTTTAAAAAAAATTATTCTTAGAATGAAACTACAGAAAAAAATAAACAGATAACTAGACATACCAACATCGATCGATTTCCATTATTCCTAACAATGTCAAGTTTTATACCAAACACGTATCGAACATATTGTTCGCGCATCCACAACTCACATCTTGTATTCCATGTACGAATATCCTGAGTGTTAGCTACTTCCACAATAATTCTTGCATGGGAAAAGCCCTACGCAAATATATTATTAATGTTGGAAAAGTGACTCAAAATAAGTATATACATACATTTGCGTCGCTGGGAGGGGGACCAGGATATGGGACGGTAGGTCGTGGAACATCTGTAGAATTCGGAAAAACCGCAATGTCCGGTGCTATTTTTTCTCCATGATTGATCGGGTTATAATGGTCTATAAGAAAAAAGTGAATTATTATTACAAGTCAAAGACCGATCTTGCTAAAAGGAATTCTTACAGGGTTGTCCAAGAACTTTTATCGGACCACGTATTACGCCATTGTTTGGAGTCTTAAAGTAATCCATCAATGCTGATACGACAGCTTCATGATCCGTATTGGCCATATCAACAATATACACATGTCCTTGATCCCAACGAAATTTATATCCAACTTTTTCGTTTCGTTCAAGAAAAGTGTTGTAATTTTTCAATGAAATTCCAGACCCAATCTGTAGGGGCAAACTGTAGCCATATGAGGCAACAATTAGACGAATCTTAAAGAATCTGCGTGAGGTATGCTTACCAATCTTCTCTCGGGAGTGTTTTCGGTAGCTTGGGATAATTGTGGAATACATTATCAACTTTGTTTCGAAATTTTTTACCTACCGATTTCCAGAAAGGGCTTAAAGTTAAGGACATTTTGAAAAGGGAGTTTCGTGCAAAAAATGTAAAGATAAAAATGATCACTCTTCTTTTATTCGTCCTTACATTTATCTCTGTGTTACCTTGATCCGGTGATCACAGAAATACCCACTAAAAAAAGCGATTATGGCAATTTCTCCCAAGAGATTTGTTAGCATCGTAGAAGGCGAACAACATAGAGTTTTACTAAGATCAATGTTCATTTATTTGACATTGCATGTCTCAATATAAGTGTAATTGACCATTTCATTCTATCCAGAGACAAATGTTAGTATATAGATAGCTGAGATGAACGAAACACCAGCAAGCATTAGTATAGAAACTCTATTTCACATTGTAAAACAAGTTTATGTATTACCGAATCTTGTAATTTATTTTTTACATCAATAAATCAGTAATTCCGATGAGGATATTGCCTCGTTTTTTATCTATGCTAACGAACTTTTGAATTATTCCATCTTATATAAAAAATTATTATCGAACATGCAATCCATTGATTCATTGAGAGAATTAAATTCCAAGCTTGTAGCCGAGATTGCCGAGCTTAGAAAGGAGAATGCAAAGTTGAAACAGATTATTGAGGAGAATACAGAGCGCGATGTTAGAGTTGAGGAACTAGAGCAAAAGAATACAGAGCTTGAGGCCAGACTTGCGATATTGGAACAGGGAGAAAAAGGTATTTCTACGGAAGATGTTTCTCAATCTCCAGTAAATTCTAACGATACTCCAAAACAGATAGTGCAACAATGTGATGATACCCCAGTATCTGATATAACTGATAACACTTTAAATTCTAACGATACCCATGAGAAGTCTAACACATCTAATTCTGATATATACCAGGATTCAGTGATCCCCATATATCCTACAGAAACCATATCATTTGCTTCGCAAAGCGACTTACGTCGCCTGGATGAGAAAGAAGAAAATGAATTTCTGGATTCAATGTATAAGGAACAGGTTAGTAAAGAGATAATTCAAAGCATTAGGGAGAAGAAACTTCGAGATCAAAATTCAGACTTATCTTTAGTTAATCAAACCATTTCTTCAGCAGAATCTGAAAAGACAGTGACATCTACATCATATGAATCAAAAACCGTGACAAAATGTCACGATCAAAATAATGCCCTGGATAATACCACTTCCGAAATACTCGAATCAGATAATCAAATCATAGAAGGTTTAATACAAGAGATAACCTATGGCCACGAGCAGAGAATTGTCTCCGAAATCAATCCTTTATCTTCAATTAATGGAAACAATGATGAGGTAAATGTTAGTGGTATACAGGATATAGTTCCAGGCTCTGTACAAAGTTTATCAGACTTATTTGATAAAGCAATTAAATCAGGTCAGAAATAAATTTTATGTTGGTATTATTATTCTTTAGAATTCGAAAATAAGGTTAAAAATCTTACAGCAGATGGCGAGATTAAAGATAAAACAGCAAGATCAAAAATATATAAGGAAATGAAACCTTTTCTACCTAATATTACAGATGCAAATTTGCATAAGAAAACTGAAAGAGCGAGAAAAATTCTTAAGCTATTTGGTGGTAGAGGAGTAGGCATAGATAAAATCGAATACATTACATATAGTACAAGTACAATTTCGGGATTGAAAAATACTCAAATTCAGCATATCATATATGAGGTGACTTTAAAAACCGTGCCAAAATGTCACGATCAGATTAATGTAGAGGTAAGTGATCTAACTAAATCACTAATATCTAATTCTTCCGATTCGAAAGTACTGCCTATCTATAAACCCAAGGAGGATTTACCGGAAGACAAGAAGACCTCATCTAAAAAACAGATTAATCGTAAGAATAATCATGCGAATTTTATTAAGAAAACATTAGAGCAATTTCCCGATCTATATTACGAATGCAGTAGTGAAAATTTTGATTACTATGGAATTACCAGTGAGACATTATGCCCTTTATGTAAATTAGATCATGAGGGCGAGGAAGGCATAGAAGGTAAATATAAAAATGGAACTTACTATATAAAATGTGAGATATCCGAAATTGGAATCGCCATACAGCTCACCTAATTGCCTATTTACACCCATCTTTTCGCATATATACTTGAAGCCAGATATTTTTAATTATCTTATATAGAGTTAGACCTTGTCCTATTATGCAGACTATTAATCTTTTTTTGAACTTGTGAGAAAAAAAGGGGATTTTTTTTATGATACTGATGTGAGAAATTAAATTGCTTTGTAATTATATAAAATGACAATATGAATACGCAAACTAAGTCTAATAAAATATTAACCCCTGAATATCTGGATTGGCAAGCTAAATTAATTGGCATTTTAACAGATAAAATTCGTTCCAAATTGTATAAAAGATATAAAAATGAAACTGGGCTTGATCCCTGGATAAAATCTGAATCCTTACAAATCAGTGAAGCTAGCATAGCCAAAAAGAATGTTAATAATTATATCCCACAAAATAATTCACTGGAAACTCAGATAAGGATACCATGGATAAATGTTCAGCCTACATCATCCAAACTTCGGTCACCAATTTCTATTCTACCTAAAGATCCAGAAGAGAAACAAAAACATGTTATCAAAATGGTATTAGAGCGATTTCCTTATTTAACTTTGAAACATAGTTTTAAAAAGAGTGATAACTTCGTTTTTAACAGTTTCATATCCTGCCCTATATGTAATAAAAATTATAAAAAAGAAAATATAAGAAATTTTATAGAGGGTATTTGGGGTAGTAGTGAATATTGTGGCAAAAAAGCTTATCGTCTTTATTGCTATACAAATAAATATCAGAATTCAATCCACATAGTAAGTATAAAAGCATGAGTTAACTTCGACAATGCATATATAGATACAGAGTATCTTGCTTCGCAGACACAAGGTACTATTTTTTCGCGATCACATGAGGTTGCTCCCTTTTGCTTTATGCTATGACCCGTCTCATAAATAAGTTATATATGATAAGCATGTTAATGAATGTAAACAAATTACATATGTACAATGATAATGATAAATTCTGTTTAAAATATCATTATCGCTAATTCAGATTTATTTTTACTAAACATTAATTATTCAAGATTTTTCGCATTCACATCGCTTATATATTCCCTCTGCTACTTTTTTGCATGTTTTGCAATATAGGTGTGAATGGTGATTGCATTCGTCACAAACCTTACACCCGTGCTTCCACCCTTTAAAGATATGCTACTTTTCGATATAATTTCGACTTCTTTTATTTGTATTATTCCACATTTGTATATTAATAGAAAAAATAATATACACGTGGTTATTTTTTTTATACAAACCTGTAATTAGTGTACTTGCATTTATGCCCTATCTTGTTATAAGCCTCATAAGGCAGGAGAATTTTATGAGGAAAAAAAGGTAAGCCATTAAGCAGTAACATTTATAGGAGTACATGAGTTTAAAAATAATTGATAAGTGTATACATTGACTTTATTTATAGAAATGATAAGCATGTTTAGATAATGTTAAAAGATGGAAAAACTTCGGCAAGTGTGACCAGGCGGTCACAGTTGAGTAAAAATTTGATATTCATCAAAATCGGAAAATTTTCGGTAGCTGTGACCCACATTTAAATAAAATTTGACGCAGTAAATTTCATTGGCTCGCTTTTAAAACCTTAGCTTTTACATAATCAATATCATCCATGCCCAGTCTCGAAATAGTTGACGCAGAAAAAGACTTAATACAATATATCTTTCCTTCCCCTCCAACCCCATCAAAGAGTTTAAAGATTTTTATTGCCCTTTCCTTCCTTTTTCTAAGATTAGCCTCTGAAACTTTGTCCTGGTCTGGAAAGTGCTCCCGAATTTTATTATTAACTAGAGAATTGAACGTATCCTCACTATATGTTTTTTTATAATGGTCAAACCATAACCTATACCCTTTCCCAAAATAATAATATGCATGAATCACTTCTAGAATAGTTTTTTTATTACTATCTTCGGCATTGATGATCTTATTTTCTAGTTCAGGAAAATTAACCGAGCTAATATCCATATTAGGGAATGTTTGTAGAGAAATAATACTACCAGAAGAGCTTTGCTGTGGAATTGGAGCGGACAATTCCTTGATAAGCTTTTTCAAAATGGGTGAATCTTCTCTTCTAACTGCTTTCTTTGCCTTCTTCTTGGGTGAAGATGAGTTGACGTCCGTACCTTCATTGGAACGTTTTTTACTGCTGGTATCAGGTTGTTCTTTGCCATCAACACTCATTTCTTCTTCCTCTTCCGGTTCCATATTAGTTGATGGACATATAGGACATAGTTTTTGTGAATTATCGATACAATTGTAATGGATGATATGTTTGCAGGTTAAGTATATGAGTGGTTTCAAGGGGCCTTGAAGTTGGGGAGAGAACCGAAGAAAGCCTATAGGTAGGAGACATGAAGAAAGATCTTCAGAACATTTGGCACACCTCAAATTACTTTTGACTTGTTGGGTTGCTGTATCTTCGATCCCTTCCATCCGTATAGGTGATATCCGTATAGGTGGTAAAGATAGGACAAATGTTTCACCCATCAAAGGTGAAATTCCAGTTGATTGGGAGGCCTCCTTGGGATTAGTTAACGGCAAATTGGAAACAGTGCCAAGGGGATTGACTTGATCTAATATTTCCACATTCTTTCCACAACCCGGGAATGGACATGTGTTTGGAACAGTAAGTAAAAGCTTTTTTTCGATACAGAGTCTATGAAAAAGGTGTCCACATGCTAGGTATGTGAATGCTTTGAGAGGAGATATTAAAATATCATTGTCACATTCGGAGCATAGCCCTAGTTCTGTAATTTTTTTACCCTTAATAATGCCATCCTTGAAGGTTTTAAGAATATTATATGCGAGATTTTTGATGTTATTAATAGGAGCAGTTGATGTGGAAGTAGAGGTAGACATATTCAAGAGTAAAATTTATGTGATTAGATTTGTATGCGTTAATATAAAGTATAACCAGATAAGTATTTCACAATTTTTTTTTATACTTAGCTTATTTTTATACATTAAACACCCTCATGATTAAAAAAATTAGTTTGCAGATTTTATGAAATCTCATTTCGAATTTGGCGATCTGTTTATTCACGAATTATTTAGTATGGGCCAGGATCGCTTGATCTTCGCTGGCAATCGTGGATAAATAATTTAGCTTAAGGGTAGACCCAAAGGGTTATTGCTCTGCAATAAGTGTGGTTAGTGAGTTGGTTAGTACCGAAATACTTCTATGCTGATCTCCGATTCGTGGATTTAGGCTCGAAGTGCCATTTCTTTGAAATAAAATACATGACATCACTCCACTGAGGCTCATTATTGCTTTGCAGTGGGCTTTCCCCTATAACGTCATGTGATTTACTTCACTTTGTGGCTTATAAGATCATCAAGCTCGATAATTAACTTTACCTTTTACTTTACGCTTTCAAATATGGCGTTTCTTTACTGCTCTAGTCTTATGCGCATCTGTAACTTCTATTTCTGAACTAGATGTAGAAGAATTACTTGAAACGCTGTCCGAAGTATCTGAATTAGAAGAAGCATCCATGGAATATTTGTCCTTATTTTTCTTACTCTTATTTTTAGAAACATCGTCATTTAATCTTCTGGATGGTAGATGTGTAAGAGGTATGTTGCAAAATATTCGTTGCTTATTAGTGCAAAGCAATGACCTTTTGGGTCTATCTCCAATATTTGAGAGAATTTTGTTAATTATATTCATAACCTTCTTTTGAGCTAGACCAGGTTTAGATTCTGTTGATTTAGATAAATTATTTTTAGTGAAGCTGGCTTTGTTAAAATCTTCATTGAATAACGGGATGCTCATACCATCTATTACAATTTTAGCATGGCAGACACGGGTTTTGGGAGAATGTCCAAAGCTTATTTTTGCTTCACGCATCCATAACCAATCTTGCCCCAACACCAGATCGAATAATGGATTTTTGTGAATTTGAAAGTCTATTAGTTCAGTATCACCTAAACTTTGCCACTTTCTTTTAATGTGAAACTGTAAATCTAAACATTTTATTTTACCTATTACATCCCCATAGAGATTCTCAACAGGATCATGTATTCTATAATCTTCTTTAAGCTTATCAAACAAGCTCTTGCTAATGGTATTAAACTTTGACAAAGTACCAATTAATGCTTTTACTGGGATTTTCCCCTCTACGAGTGTATTTACGAACATATTAAGTATATTTAATAATTTATATTACCGCGAAAAAATAACTCAGTAAATAATTACCCATTCTTCAGTAATAAATGTAATTATTTATAACTCACGTTAGAGGATTCTCTCTGAGATAATTAACAATTGCAGAAATAAGATCTGTTTCATCTGATGTATGACTCAAATAGTAGTCTCTAAAGAACCTGGTTATAGCTATCCCATTTTATCTACCGGTAAAGATTGGAATAAGTGGAGGTAAATCAGAATCTGAGAATTCATCATCGGAATAATCTGGACGTTCGATTTTAATTTTCGGATTGAGTTTTTTCAGCACTTCATTACTAATCCTTCTACACCTCTTCAAACTAAGATATTCCAAATTAGTACAGTTGCTAGCTATCTTCTCGATAGCTTCATTACTAATCGAGCAATCACCAAGCTCAAGATGTCTAAGTTTTGAGCATGAGCAAGTAATTTCAGTGATACATCGATTAGTGAGACATATACATGAATTAAGACTCAGATGCTGTAGTTTTGGAGAAAATCTTGCAATTTCTATAATTGGTATATTAGTAAAACCCTTACTTTTATCAAGAATAAGAAAGCGTATATCTGGACATGAGCATAGAATCACACTAATCAATGCATCTGAGATTTTTAAACCTTCCAATCTGAGATATACCATCTTGGCGCAATAGGTTGGCTTTATTTTTCTACGCATAACTCTTTCAAAGTTTATCAATCGCCGAATAAGAATCCAAGACATGTTTAGGGCACGCCGGCTTTGCTGATAATCTTTGTTGAAAAACTCAATGCGTTGCCATAGAATAGGAGCACCGCAGTGATACCAAAGATGGTTAACAAATAAAGTAGAATAGAGGGATTGATGGATTTCTAGAAAATATAAGATCTGTTCTAGCAATTCTGGTAAATCAAAAATATTTAGTTGCACCATTCTCAAAAATGTATATTATATATCTTTAATCGAAAAAACAGCTAATGTTTGGATAATTAATTTAGGTGTATTTTTAAATTAGCATTAATAAATAATTTAACATTTACAATGACCGAAGCTGATAGAACTGTATCCCATATTACTAAACAGGTATCGGGTAAAAAAATCTGGATCTGTCTTCACCAATTACTGAAAATAGTGAAACCTGAGATTCAGCAGGATATTATAAACTCAATAGCAAACCCAGATATTTCTTGAAGAAATCATACACTATGCAAGGCTAAAAGAAAAAAGAGATTTTTAAATAATACAGCATCTGAGTTCTCATCCTCATCTTCATCTGGGTCTAGTTATGAATGGTCTAATGATGAAGATTTTGCTATAAATATGGTGAAAGCAAAGAAGTGTGATTAGTTCTCATTGTCAAAAATTTCTCTGTATAAATTGATATTATCCTTGACCTTACTATTTTCTTGTTTAGGTGCTGGAGTATACAAAGTTTTCCCAATGGTCCTTACTAATAATATCATATCCTAGTATTAATAAACATTTACATATATATTTGGGCGGATGATACTTCGCAAATCGTAACCAAGCTTTTGGTGTTTTTAGATTATTGATATAGTTTAAACCATATTCAGTTAACATGTATTGGGTATAACTATTTTTTGTCCATTCCTCAAAAATATCTTGAATATTGAGTGAGTTGTATGAATGCATTATATATCAAATGTATTGTTTTATCTGACTAAGACATTTTTAATTCATTTACTAAATTTTTACTGCACATATCTTAACTGATTTCTCTACTAGATAAAAAAAATAAATTGTGAAGGTTTGCCGAAGATAGCTAGATTGCCATTGCTTTGAGCACCTGTTCTACTTCTTTATCTGACCTAAAAAATAAAAACGCCTTCATATATTTATTTTATCAAAAGAGCTAAGACATGATTTAGAATATAGCAGTTTTTTAGAAGCTAGCTAGCATTGAATCAATTTCTGCTATTTGAGATTCGAAAGGATTAGAATTATTATTTTTAGGTTGGAATGATGAGGCCTGAGATTCAGAGATTGGGCTAGGTGCTTGGTCAGATTCAGATTCGAGGTCAGAGTCTTCTGATTCTGTATCGCCTATAGCATAATTCTTTCCTGCATCTAGATGAACAATCTTATGCCTCAATGCTATTCTGTTAAGAAGATCAAGATGCTGATGAGTTGGGTTTGGACCACCGTGAACTCTGCAGGCATGCTTTCCTCCTATTTTTCTTAATATTTTAGACGTGATTTTATAAGGCTTCAAAAACTTGCTAAATGCCCTAGTATTGTGCTTTCCATTTTTATTAAAGGTAGGATTACTTAACTTTCCGGCCTTTATAGCCTCTTGAATCCAGATAAGCAATGCTCTTGCACATTCTGGGTTCTTCTCCATTGATAAGAATGGGTGAGGTTCTGGATCATCCTTATTTTCTCCTTTATTCTTAGCATATCAAGTGCAATACCAAGAATAACCATTTTTATACCATGCTGAAGGATTAGATGGGTCAACTTCATAGTAATCAATCTGGAGGCTGGATACTTCAGCAGGTCTCATACACAACATCATTATTACATCTGCGAGATCCTGTAATAAGGGATCTTTGGTAGTATCAATGTTTTGAATTCTTTTAAGTCCTTTTTCTAAGGAGAAATGTGGTGGAATTTTTAACTGATTATTGGCTACATCTTGTTCAGTCCATTCTTTCTGAATTTTGTTAGAAGCCGTGGTAACACCTAGAAGTTTAGCATAAATATCAATAGGTTCTTGAGCAATACCAGCTTTTGCCAATTTATTACGAAATAGAGAGAGTCGCGAACAGGAGGCAACGATTTCGTCATTACTTTTTGAACCTAAATTGAGAGCATGGATATAAATATCCTACTCATCACCAGTTTTGGCACAATAGAGAGCTCTTTTTTCAATGATGAGCTTTTTCTTTCTTTTGTCTGGCACAAGAACTTCTATTTGATTTTCTTTGAATAAGCGCCGATGGAGAGCCTTTTTCACATCTTTACGAGCCTTCCAATCTAGTAGCATAGTACTAAGCTCATCAGCGTGAGCATGTAATTGAAGTGGATTTGATTCGGCCAATAGGTTATATTTATTAAGAACCTGATCCAAAATGGAGGTAAAGCTATTAGTTTTGGGTTTTTTAGTTTTTTGGACAGTTGCGATAATAGATATGTAAATAATCTATATCAATAAGTAGAATGTAATTGTACATTAATCTCTTATTTTTTTTAATTCGAAATTAATTACGCTTTTTCCTCTGAAAGCTCGATTTAGTCTCTTGATCACATCCTTTACAGGGTTGTGAAATTATTATACCCTTTCGAATCTTGAATGCATGGGTAGCACAATATTGTCCTTTTGCTGGGTTTTTACATAATTTAGTATCTTCAACTAATAACCAATTACAAGGCATTTTCGATTCACAAAGTGGTTATATTATTCTATTAGTATTAGTGCTTTCATATTTAAAATTAAATTCAAGAATGAAAAATTTATCAATTATCGTTTTTAAGTGTCACAAAAACCAGTATATATAACACAAAGTTTGCGTAATATTTTTTATCTAAAAATTTTATATCAGCTAGTTTGTAGGAGCAAAAAATTCCACTATAGCGAAGCTCCTATCAGCAAAACTCACCTTATTTGTCTCTTAGCATAATAAAAGTGGTTATAATAACTTACCATAGATATCTATTTTCCTGAAGTATCTTTATATTTTTTCCCCAGTCCTCATCATTATAAATGCATGTATATGCTCAGAATTCGCCTTTATCTTCATATAGCCGAAGATCAATCTCCATACATATTAATTTTTCTCGTCTGGACAGTTCCATATAGTTCTCTGGATTGACGCCATTGCTTTGTGCAAATTCAATTATTTCTGCATCTGCCATCATTTTATCATAATAAATTCTTGCCAAATTCCTATCTTTTTCAGTAATAGTAATGAACTTATCTGGATCCTCACCAAGTTCGATGGCTTTTTGTCTTAATCGTATTTCTCATTGCTCCCTAGTTTGATATCCGGGTGGGTATGATATCTGCTGGGAAGATACTTCGTTAATGGTTTTTGGTTCATTGTTTACAGGTAAGTTAGGAGAGATTTCGGGATCATTTATCAATTTGATAATTTCTGGAGATTCAACTTTATTATTCACCGGTTTAATGATCTCAGAAACTGGTTCGGATTTATCATCCACAAGTTCTATGTATACGATCTCGGGTGGCAGAGATATATCAGTAGACTTGGATAATGAAGCAACTAAACTTTCATTTGTTATAGAATCGAAGAGATCCTAGGTCATTTTAGTAACTGCTGGAATAGGTGCAGGTGATGAATCCTTGCCTTTTTCGATGTGATCTGTGGTTGATGTCTCGGCTATATTTTTTTTTGGTTCGGGGGGGGGGGGTTTATTTCTGGTACATAGAATATAGGTATATCTGTGGATTCGTTGGCGAGTGTCTCAGGTTGAGGTGCATCAGAAAATTCCTCAATAACTCCTATCGATTCACACAATTTAGCTACAATCTTGGATTAATCAAGGATATATTGCCACTCTCTCTTTCTACCACCAGCACGTTTATTTTCGATGTTAATATGTGTAAATTTTTTACCTAATATATTATTACTAAATGGTTTCTCACCATTAGCTTCACACCATGCCTGATACTCTTGATATATTATTGTACGACTTTGTATCTCAACTCGATCCTTAGACCATGGCGAAATATGATCAATTATAAATCGAGTGGGGCTGGGAAGATGCACCAGTATTGTATCTGTTTTCATTTTAGTACTGGGAATATCTTGTGGGTCCCAATTTGAAAGATCATGATTAAGAAGATATGACATAACTATTCCTGGTGCATCAGGATGTTCTAGTATTTTAGCCAAACGTTTGAAATATAGTATATTCTCTCTACAGCATGCAGATACATCAAAACAAACTATACAAGCATCCTCTGCATCTATTTTAAGCAGGGCATCCTGGTTGCTTGTAACCATAAATGCTGAGTAATCTTTTAAATGAATAGGTTCAAGACCTTTACGTTCTATAGACACTTTTGGTTCTGTTATAAGGGATTTGAGATGACCATTGAATTTATGCTATTCTCTACTAGACATACTGGTCTCATTCATAACTACTAGCTTTTTACCTTGAATATGACTGTTGAATTTTCCAAAAATTTTCCCTAGATCGGATGTTGCATAATAGAGCTTTGGTCCTAAGACTTTATTACCAATAAAATCAATAATAATATTTTTTTCACATTGTTGAAGAGTAGACTTTAATACACATATTGAATGAGGTTTCTTTTCCGGTTTTTGTATTAAATATGCTCACCAGTTCCAGATATAATTGTTAAGCTTTTCATTTTCATCAAAGATTACATTTTTTACATGCCAGAGGATAGGATCCATAATTTCTTTTTTAATTTCTAGTGCTGGTTTAGCTGTAAATCCCAGGAAAAGATTAAAGAAATTTGTTTTTAGTAGAATTGTGTTTGGTAGGTATGGAAGAAAGTTTATTTTGCGATAACGAATTAGACCTTTGGTAACTGCTCGATCTATTAATGACCTTAACTTTATCGATTCCCCTCCAAATTCGACTATATTAATTTCATAATTAGCAAGTTCTAGTTTAGGCACAAATTCAAAGATAAGTCCACCATCCTCATCTTCATCTTCAACTTTAAATATCCAAAACTTTTTTCCTCTATCGATATAAGCAATTGTTGCTTGGATAGCTTCATAAACTTTACTACGGGTATACTTTTCTCCTTATAAACACATATCTATTAAGTCACCCCATACAAAATGATCATTTGGATCCATTATTCTAGGCTGGTTTAATTTTTCTGAAACTGCAAGACTTTCTTCTTGTTCCGAAGTTTTTTCTTTAATGGTCAACTTTATTGAAGGTTTTCTAAATCCAGCTTCCCTATTATTATTCGCATGATGACAATAGAAACTATATGATTTCTTGTTTCGAATAACATATGCATTATCGCTTGTATGTGGATCTTTATAACCATATTCTCAATAACATAATAGGCAAAATGCTGGAGTCACCCATTTAAGAGGAAAACTATTGGGAAAATTTTCACATGGACTTGAAAGTTCATATCCTCTGATTTCAAATTCTTCTAATAATTTTGCAATCAAATTGAGTTCGATTTCAATATCCTCAGTAGTTTTAGTACATGTATTAGAAATTTTTGTTGATGCAGGTTCTGAAATAACTAAAAGAGGACTGACTACTTCAGACGATTCATCATTAGGTGGGTGGAGCATAAAATCAAAGACAGAACTATCTTTTAAAAATAATGCTTTTTTTATTCACACATGCTTGTTAGTTTTTTCAATAAATTTTGGTGCTCCAAGCATTTGCAAGAAAAATGGGTTTTTGTTGGTAATGTTATCAACAATATCTTTGCTTTGTAAACTAACTGGGAGTTTTTTGCGAACGAGCTTAGTAAATATTGCAACTTTGGCAATGTTTTTGAGACGAAGACCAAAAGTTGAAATATGAAGTAACATTTTTTTCTTATCACTACTGCTAGCAATTGTTAAAGTATAGGAATCCCATTCTGGATATATTTCTTTACAGGTTCTTGAAAAAGCATGGCAAAGTAAATCCTGTATTTCTTTGGATGAAAGCTTGGGTTCGATTTTATCAAATTTTTCTCTGGATAAATCAAAATTGATAATAGAGTGAAGTGGGCCATCTCCACCAATATATTCATATAATGAATGGCCCTGACATTCTATGAGAATAGCTTCTATTCCATCCTCGGAATCTGTACCAAGGAATTGTCTTGGTTTTATACTATCATCACAGATTTTATACATGTATTCAGCTACGCTCTCAGCTCTAAACCCTCGGAAGTAAAACGCCCCATTATTTTCTTCTGGCTCGGGTTCAAATTCTGGCTCGAAATTCTCCGATTTATCCACAGTTGGTGTATCGGGTACAATAGGCATGCTATGTTCATTTTGGGTACTCAGGTTTTTCCTGAAAGAATATTATTCAGAATTTAAAAGTTCAAAATGAAAATTAATTCTAAAGAATATTAATCAATACATATTATATACTCAATCAAAATAAATATCAAAAAGAATGGCATTTTATCATTGTCCCTATATCTTTAGAACTGGTGAAGTCTGTAATTGGCCATGTTATCATCCCAATGGGTGTAAAGTTCACCAGGATTCACCTATTCGTTATCCTTGCAAAGAATATGGTTGTGTTAAGTTAACTAATTCTGGTTATGGTTATTGTGATACTCATGCGCAGAAACATCGTAGAAGAGAGTATAGGCATCAGAAAAAGCTGGAGAAGGTGGCAGAAAAAAATACATAGTATGAAGGTGTATGTTGGGGGGTCACGTCCACTTTTTCTTGGATGAATTTTTTCTTGGACAAAATTCTTGGATGAAAAAAGATAGCTAGTTAATATTTTTTTGTCGAAAGAAAAGGTTTTAGACTAATCGTCCAGGTTGTTCAGGTTGTCTAGGTAAATTTTTAATCTTCTTACTTTTATATTTTTTATCTATGTGTATAGAACATATGCATAAATATGTATATAGTGTATATGTACCAAAGATATGATATATAGCGTATACCATAGAAAAGAGTTTGATATTTTTTCCTAGAATTCTATTTTTTACCTAAACAACTTAGACAAAAATAGAATAAGTATAGAAGAACAAGTTAAAACAAAAATAAACCGTTTTCTCCTATAATATTATTTGTCCAAGTTGGCATATTTTTACTTGGACAATACCTGGATGATATTTTTTTCTTGGATGCGAGCAGATCCATTTTAACCACATTCTAGGATAGCATTTGCATAATATATTTGATAGCATGTCCAGATAGTATATACCTGATAGCATATCTGATAGCATTTGCATGATATATTTCGTATACATATTTGATAACATATATCCAATAACATGTCTCGATAACATAACTTGATAACATAATTGATAGCACTTGATAATATTTGTGTGATATATTTACCTCCACAAACGATATACAAATTGCAATCAGATTGTCAAACTCGTGATAAAGCCAACCTGGTAGCATAACCTACCTTAGCTATTTTATTGCAACGGAAATCAGTCGTCATCTTATTTTATCTCTACTAATCCACCCATCAAACTCGCAATGAGGCCAACCAGGTAGCATAACCTACCTCAGATAATTTATTGTAATGAAAATCAGTCAGAATTACCATTCTGATATACAATAGTTTACATGACGACGGTGTCATATTTTTGTCATCACGACATGTACCTAGCTTATCATAACTTAAATCGGGAAGTGTTCTATACTTGAAATAAGTCACAGACATTAAACTGGTATACTATGAAAATGTGTCATAAAATATAGATCACGACACTGATGATGGTGTCATATTTTTGTCATCAATTTTTTTATAGATCGTGGAAGTATCCAAGTGTGATGACATGAACACAAATACGTCATCATATTTTTTATAGATCATGGGTACCTAAGTGTGATGACGAACTCGTGAACCAATCGTCACTTGAATGACGATGCAAGCATGAATCATTCGTCACTCGAATGATGAAGCGAATACTAATATATCTTTGATGATGCAAGCGCGAATCGTTCATTACTCGAATGACGGAACGAATACTAATATATCTCTGATGACGCAATTACAAATCATTCGTCATTCGAGTGACGACGCAAACATAAATCGATCATCATTCCCATAAGTAGATAACAACCTAATATAAGTAGGTAACAATATATATATTGTTACCTACTGAGTAGGAGTAGCAGAACACTATGAAAACCAATTTAGGAAAAGAAATACAAGACTAGAAGAGATATTAAAAGAGTAGAAAGAAATATATAAACCATGAGAAAACATTAAAGAGAAATGGTATACAGAAGTTGAAAAAGCAATTAAGGAAAAAGAATGAGAAGAAACATTAAGAGAACTGAAGACAGGAACAGCTCTAGATATATCAGATATAAGTTATATTCTGATAAAGTGAGCAGGAAAGAAAACACAAGAAGTATTTAGAAGCTTTGCAGATATATGTTTAGAAGAAGGAAGGATACCAACCAAATGAAAGATAGCACAAGTTTACCCAATACCTAAAGATGTTGAGTAGGGATATAATTTAAACAATATACGACCAATAGCACTAATAGAAATATTTAGAAAAGTCATAACAAAGATGCTAACAAAAAGACTTACCAAAGTGTTTACAGAAAAAGAAATACTTAAAGGACCAAATTATGCAGACCTTCCAGGCAACTCAACAGAACAACCAGTACATATTCTCAATATGATAATGAAAGAAGCAAAAGAGAAGGGTAAAGAAGCATAGATACTTTTACAAAATATGAAAAAAGCATTTGACTCAGTCCTGCTTGAGAGTCTAGAATTAGTACTGCAAAGAGTCAAAGTATCCAAAAAAACAATGAAATACATCTTGGATCTGTTTTATGAAAAACAATTAAAAATTATTACAGATTATAGTCTAACAGAAGAAATAACAGCAGGAGATGGCATAGATCAAGGAGAAGTAATATCTCTATTAATATGGTGACTTTTTTATGATCCACTGTTAGAGAGAATACAAGAAGACAAAGGTTTAGGATATGTAATAGAACAACAGCTCAGAAGAGGAATGCAATGCAACAACATCATGAAGTACCACCAAGCAGCTATTGCATATGCAGATAATACAATGTGGATTGCAAATAGTAAAAGACAGCTAATAGAAATATTGGAAATAGCAGAAGAATTTTACAAGATGAATGACATAGAGATAAATGGATTCAAGTCAAAGCTGTTAATAATGAACACAAAAGTACAGAAAGAAGAAAAAGTAGTGATCTTCGGAGAAAGCAAGATAACAGAAGAAGCAAAGAACAAAATAGTTCACTCGTTAGGAATATGCTAAATAATAGAATGAATGAAGTGCTAGTTAAAAAGAAAGCTAAAAGAATAATCAACCAAACAATAAAAGATCTTAGACACAAAAAGATGATGATGAGTCAGATTGTATATATAAACAACATAGTAATAATACCAAAATTAAGTTACATGCTACAGCTAACAAAGATGTCAGAAAAAAGTATAAGTGAAATACACCAACCAATAATAAGTTTAGCAAAACAAAAAAGCAACCTACAAAGAACATTAGAAAACTGCATAATGGAATATAAAGATCTTGAAAGCTGCAAAACATTATGACAAGAGTTAATAATAAAACAAATAAGTAGCTTATTAGTAAGACTAAACAGACAAGATAGTCTTGGTCAGTTAACAAAATTAAGAATAACACAAGGGTGCCAAAAAGCAGGTTTAACAGAAGATATATGGAAAATAGAAGAGATGCCAGAAAATATAGAAGGTTGAAAAAGTAACTTAGCTTGTCTAACATTGCTAAAAGCAAGAAAACTTAATATAAATATAAGAACAGAAGGCAACCTATAGACAATGTTTGGACATGGAATCAAAATAAGAGAACTCATAAACACACAACTATAAAAAAGAAGTGGTACTAGAATAAACGAAGCAGGCCTAATATATCTAAACCAGCTAATAGATACAAAAGAAGAGAGATTAATTATATGGCAACAGCTAAAAAGCTACCAAGCGCAACTTGTCATTACAATTTCTTTTAATGTTTCTGTTTGACTTTTTAGGGCTAATATAATGCTATAAGGACTATCAAGTAAGAGAAAAAAAGCAGAATGGTTTAAAGCGATAAAATTAGAAGTACTCATTAGGCCAGAAAATAGAGAAATTAGAAAACAATATAGAACAATTAGGCAAAACACTCAAGCAATGCAAATAAGATGAGAGTGTATCTCAGAAGACAAAAGAAGAAAAGAATGAATAATATATAGTGTACAGAACAATCGACAGTTAGGAAAGATAATTAAGAAGAAAAAAAAGAAGATACTAATAAAACATTGGCAAATGCAAAGTAAAGAAAGTGAATTAGCTATCAAAATTAACAGATGTAAGGGTTATATAAGAAAAGAAGAATGCCAGGAAGATAGCTGCCAATAGTGAATAAGAGTAAATAATAGAATTAATGTAATCCCAGATGCATTAATAGAAAAAGGCAGCAATAAAATCAAGATAGCGATAGATCAAATAACAGAAATGATAAAGACAAACAAACCAGTAATAGGAGAACAAAAACT